AGCGACGCCGCGGCGATGCCAACGCTCAGCGACGGGGCGCCCTGCGCCCGAAGCTTCGCCACGATGTAGAGCAGCGACGCGCCGCGCGCCGTCCGTGCCCTTCCCCCCCCCCCCCCCTCCCCCTGTCACGGGGAACGGCGCGCGGCGCGCGCTGTGCGCAATGTCTCGATCTTCGCTTTCACTCCGCCGAAGGAGCAGGAGGGAAAAAACAACCAATGGTGCACAACGAGGAACCGAAAACGCTACACCTTTAACGGAGAAATAAGAAGTGGGAGACGTGCCGCGGGGAGGAAGCCGCCCACGCTCACGGGCTGATGGGATGTAACCTGCGTTTGATGCAATGTATTTTGTTTCGCTGCATTGTGCTGCGTCGCGTTTTCTGCCCTGCCGTCTGCTGCGTTGCATGGCGCCGTCTGTTTTTCCTGCGCCGCATTCTGCTGCATTGCACATTTCCCCCTGACTCCTCCATCTCCCAAATCACCCCCCCCTCCCTCTCCTCCTCCTTCTCCCACCACCCTCCCCCTCCGCCAGCTCGCACATCCCCCCCTCCCCCCGCCTCCTCTTCCTCCTTCTCCTTCTGATCCCCCCCCCCTCCCCCTCAAAATCCACCCCCCCTCGCCCTCCCCTTCAAAATCCCCCCTCCCTCCTCCTTCCCCCCCTTCCCCTCTTCCTCCCCCTCCTCCTCCTCCTCATTCTCCTCCTCCTCCTCTTCTTCCTCGTCCTCCTCCTCCCCCTCCTATGTTTAAGCGAAATTCAGCAACGACGCGAATGCGACCCGCGCGGCGACGCTGCGATCCGCCACAGGCCGCTGGCGGCCTCCGCTCCATTGAAGCGCAGGTCTGCAAGACCCATGGTGGGCCACAGCGCGTCCAACAAAACTTCTGCCCTCGAAGCCGCGCCCCGCTGCCGCCTGTGCGCTCCCACTGCAACGGCGGCAGAATAGCATCCACGCCCGCCGTCGGCATCTTGTTGTCCTCCACCTAGAGCTCCCGAAGCAGATCTCCCGCTTCGAGTCGCTGGATCTCCGCCCAACACTAGCCATGGGCGGCTGCGTCACCATGCCCGCGGCGACGGCGTCGCGAACAATTGTTCGCGCTGGTCTGCATGAAGAGCATGCCGATGCCGCGCCCACCGCGCGCCTCGACACTCCTCGCAACGCCACTTGAATCGGCAATGCAGCGCGTCGGCGGATTCTGCCCAAGAGCAAGGGTCGGCCCGCGCCGCGGCGCGCCGCGCCTCGAAGCACCCCCGCGAGCTGCCGCTTGTCAAGCTCCTTGCGAATGGCCTTCCGCATGAGATGTAGCGGCGCATCGCCGTCGCGGTCGGCCATCGCATCATGATTGATGCCGTCGTTGAACATCTTGTGGCTGGTATGCCATGACCTCTGCACCGTGCCGCTCTGAAACCAGCACAACCGCACCTCCACGCACAGCGCCGACGGCGCGCGCTGCATCCTCAAGATCTTGCGCCCGCCATTGCGCTCCGCGATCCAGCCAGCGCTGGGCGAAACCCAACGCCCTGTCGCGCCCCGATAGGACGCATCCAGCTCCTTCTGCCCATCGTCGGCGCTGTGGCGCAGCAAGCCCCCGCCCGCGCCAGTGCGCTTCGGGATGCGAAAATAGCTGGCGCCGCCGCCTGAAGCCCGCCGCCTGCCGCCGCGCAGCGCGGGCATCGGGTCCTAACAGATATGCTCATACTCAAACCTCTCTCAATTGATTGGTCGGTTGCTGGTGCAAAAATCCCAGCAGCCGCTTTCACTGCGCCAGCAGGTTTACTGCCCGTGGACCACGCACCACTCTACCATATCGCAACCACTAGTTGGACACGACCGCGCGAGCTCCGATCAGTCCACTGGCAACCGCTCGACGCCCGCGCCTCTTGCACTTGATCCAGACAACAACGCGCGCACCGCCCGCGCCCGCCACGCCCGCCCGCCGCCGCGCAAAGCATTCAAACAACCAAAACGACATTCAACGGCAACGAACGCCACGAGCGCGAGCGCCGCAATGTCGGCGAGCTTACTCTGGCGCACGGCCGCCCCAGATCGACTTGTCGTCATCCAGGAACACCGCATCTGCCCCCGCTGTACTCGCCGAGCCGAACCGAACGCCGTGATCATGGAATCCCAAAGGTTGTTCCGACCACCGTGGCGACGGCTGGCCGTCTTGTTGGGCGGAATGGATGCGGGCGCATATGCGGGCCGCCAACTTGCTGAGAAGCGCAGCTATCAGGGGCGAGCCGAAGGGCATGCCGCATCGCCCCCACTAATTTGCTCGCGTTTTCGGCCGCGGCAACGCCTCGTAGGCCGCATTCACTTTGATGAACTGCCCTGGCGGCCCGAAAGCGGCGTGTTCCGCGCGCGGGCGCCCCGCGTGCCCCGCGCAATGGCAATGCTCGGCGCGCGGCCCGCAGGGGTGCTGGGCGCGCGGCCGCCAGGCGCGCGGCGGCTGTGCTTATCACCGTGCCAAGCGTGCCCCCGTCGAGAGGCGCGCGAATGGCTGCGCGCCTGTATGGCATCAATTCCCCCGCCGCAGCAGCAGCAGCAGCGAAGGCAGTAGCAGCAGACCAGGCAGCGCGCAGAAATGCTGACCAATGTTGCACACAAACACACGCGCACGCGCAGACACACGGACATTCGGCCGCGCACGGAAATGCGCAAACCACTCTGCATGCAGAGATGCTCAGACCCAGGCTGAACATGCAAATGCGTCGCCGTCGTCCGTCGTCGTCGTCCGTCGTCGTCTGTCGTCGTCGCCGTTCGTCGTCGCCGTGGCGGCGGTCGTCCGTCGTCATCGTCGTTGCCCCGTTGTCGTCGTCGTCGTCCGTCGTCGTCGCCGCCGCCGCCGTCGTCGTCGTCGGCGCGTCGCGGGCCTTCGATATTCAAGAGGTTTCCTCGGCCTCGGTCTTTGCATGGGGGCCGCCTTCGGGTAATCGTCATCGTTGTCGGTGTTCCTGAACCCTAACCCTACGTCAATTTGGAAATACCTTCGATTTCGGGTGACGCTTTCGGCGCCAAGACGGGGCGAAGCCGCGCGGGGGCGGGCGCGCGAATGAGCCCTTGAGAAGCATATTGTTCCGATCGCTCTGGGTTTTCAACCAGCCGCACAAGCGTTGTTATCCTCATGCGATGTTTGTTTCCCCGGGTTGCCGTCGCGCTTCCCCCGTAGCGCCGCGCCTCGATGCAACGAACGGCTTTCCGCGCGTGCGCGACAGCGTTCGACGTCTAGAAAAACACGCGCGCGCGCGCGCCAAGAAATCGGGAAAGCCCCCCTCCCCCACCCTCCGCCGCCCCTCCCAGAAACCGCCCTGCGCACCAGCGAAAACCTTTCGAAAATTGCAAAAAAAAAAAAAGCGCGAGCCTAAGCAACGTTGCACCATGCGTAGGGTACCAAAGGTATGTGCGAATCCTGTGCATGCGCTACGGTTACAGTGCGTATATATGTATAGCATTGCTATGCGTTTCGCTGCAATGGTTAGTGCGGTCGCATATGATAAGATACGGTGGTGTATATGATATGGTTATGAGCGTGTGTATGGCAATGTATGTGTACATGCGCATGGTAATGATGTGCTGTCTGGCAGTTCATTTGCATCGCACTCTCCCTCGGCTGCGCTGGCACGGTCGAGTGATGCGCTGGCACGGTGGCGCGAGGTGCTCTCCGCGCCTTCCCCGTCCGCAGCCTCCTCCGCCACCTTCGCCCTAATCATCCTCATCGCCCTCCTCGTCCTCCTCCCCCTCCTCATCCTCCTCCCCCATCATGGCCCTCATCGCCATCCCGATGGGGCGGGGCACGAGGCACGCTGGAGGGCGAGGAGGAGGAGGGAAACGATGAGGAGGAAAAAGGATGATGATGACCAGGAACACGAGGAGGGCGAAGAAGAGGGCGAGGATGAGGATGATGAGAGCGATAACTGCGAGGACGAGGAATACGATGGCGATGACGAGGCGAATGTGGAGGATAAGCGCCATGGCACGGAGGGGCATGTGAGGGGTGAGGCAGGCAGTGCCATATTCAAAATCCTCACCCTCCTCCTCCTCCTCAACATCATCATCACCCTCCATGTTTTCCTCGCAGCACCCCTCATGAGCACCATCGCCCTCATCCACCGCACCCTCCCGCTCTTACTCCTCCTCGTGCATGCCCGCATGAGCATCCTCATCATCTACCTCCTCATCCTCTCCCCCCCCCCCCCTTATCCCGCTCATCCCCCTCCTCCTGATCCCGCCCATCCTCCTCGCCCTCCTCCTCATCCTCATCCTTCTTATCCTCATCCTCCCTATGATCCCCCTCGTGCCCCTTATACCGCTCGTCCACCTCCTCATCCTCATTATCCCGATCAGCCACCTCATCCTCCTTCTCCCGATCGTCCTCCTCACCCTCATCATCCTCGCCCTAATCATCGTCGCCATCCCCCCCCCCCCATCGTCCTCATCACCCCCCATCCAATCCGTCTCATCAGGGTCACCCTCGCCACCCCCATCGTCGCCCTCCTCAGCATCCTCCTCGTCATCCTCGCCATCCTCGCCCTCACCCTCCTCATCGCCATTACCATCGCCGCCCTCATCCTCAGCATCATCGCCATCCTCATTGGCCCTCCTCCTCCTCCCCCCCCTTTGGCAATGGAGGCCCCGCGGGTCCTCGCCTCCGCTGCCACTGGCAGCCGCCGACGACGACGACGACGCGTCGGCGTCGTCGTCGACCTCCTCGGCCCCCTCCTCCGCGGCCGACGCGGGGTCGGAGCGGGGCTCGCCGTCCTCGATGGCGAGCGGCGCCGCAGCGCCACCAGCGGGCAAGCCGCGCCCGACGCCGCGCCCCCGACCGCGTCCACCACGGCCACCTCGCGCTCCACGCGCTCCGCCATCAGCGGCACGGCCACGTCGCCCGCGACCGCCGCCGCGCCCGCGACCGCGACCGCGGGGCGGGGTTGGCCACACCTGAGCCTCATCGTAGGGCAGTGCGGCGACGAGCTGCACACCAGGCGCCAGGCCGCCGAGCGGCCGATCGTGGATGACCAGCTCCAGGAACCGCATGGTCCACGTGAGCTGGTCGCGCTCCAGCTCGGCGGCGGCGTCGAACAAGGACTGCCACTCGCCGACAACCTTGGGGAGAAAAGGCACAAAAAAACAAAACGTCGCATTCCCTCGCCGCTATCCTCATCGCCTCCATCATCCGCCTCATTACCGCCCTCATCGTCATCCTCGCCATCCCCCTCATCACCCTCCTCATTATCCTCCTACTCCTCCCCCAGACCCTCCTCCTCATCATCGTTATCATCAACCGCCTCATCCACCTCATCATTATCGCCCTCCTCCTCCTCCTCCCCATCTCCGCCCTCATCGCCATCAACGGCATCATCGTTCTCCGCTATCCGTCCCACACCTTTACCACCCTCCTCCTCATCCTCATCGGGGTTGTTGGGTCTCGGCCATTGGGCGGCCTTGACCGCTCTCTCGCCCGCGGAAGGCGACACCAGCGCGGCCTCCTCGGGCAGCGGCGGCACCACGGCCTGGACCATGGGCTCGTACGGCGACCACGACTGGAAGCTGATGTGCCACATCACCTCGTGCTTCCCGTCGATGCCGTAAAACTCTGCCAACTCCAGCTGGTCAGCGGACGGCTCGCCAAACAGCTCCACGAACACCTTGCCGCCTCCAAGGAGCTCGCGATTGAAATTGCCAACTGGAAACGCAACCTTCATGGCACGGAGGATGTTGTCCCTGAACCGCTTTGTCACAGCGCCTTCAGGAGAGCATACGCAAATCCCAGCAAGCCAGCACGGCGACTCCTTCACGTCGTCGCCGTCATCGTCGGAGGACTCGTTCTGACGAACGCCCTGGTTGAGACGGCACAGGTGGTCCATCTGCTGATCCATCGACTTTATCAGGTTGGAGTGGTGCACGGTGAAGCTGTTGCAGTACTCGATGAGCTCGTCGGCGGCCTTGACGGTGCCAAGCTTGGTTTGCTGGGCGCACTTCACACCGAGGAATGGCGGTGGAACAGCAACGAAAGTGGGCGAAGCTACAGGCATGCAACCGCCCGTCGCGTTCATCTCCGTGCGAAGGTCGGGCGTGTGGGCATCGCTGTACTTCTTAATGGCCGCACTGTCATGTTCATCTGCCTCTCGGCTCGATGCCGCAATCTGCCGATCGCAAGACGCTGCAAGCGTGGCGGCTCGCTGCAAGTCGTAGTCAGTCGCTACCGCCTGGTCCAAGAGTTTGCAGATCTGTTCATCAGCGTCTCCGCGCCGCGCAGCTTCCAAGCAAGCCACTTCGAACTTCTGCTGCTTCATTCGCTTGATCTGTTTAGTAGTTGGCCCGAACGATGTACCGCTTCCAATGTCCCCCGCCCGCCGCCGATGCGCAGCAGCCGCGCCGTCGGTGATGCACTTCTGGAGGAGCTCGCTGCCGACGGTGTCCTTGAGAGCACGGTACAGCACTGCCACGCTACGCAAGTCGTGGCTCTTCTGCGTGCGCACGAAACACCTCCAAGCACCGCCGCCGCCGCCCCGAGGACCGCTGCTGGAGGCGCCATTCCCGCCGTCGTCCTGATCGCCATCGCCGTCGGGAGGATCTCTATACAACTCACGCGCCTTATCACACCTGCACTGCTGCTGAACCCAATCGCTGTTCAACGAAACCAAGTCGGCCTTCCGTGATTGAACGCGCTTCTTCACAATGCGCCTGAAGTTGCCGTTGTCATTCTCCCTCGCAGTGGTGGTAATCTTGATGGCAATGAGGTGCAACGCGATCTTGAGCCTGGCCTCGAAAGATGACAAATCATTATGCTTCATGAAAGTGCGGCTCCACTTATCAAGTCCACAGGGCCTGAAGTCTTTGATCGATTCTGCCAAGTCGGGTTGCTCGGCCACAAGCAGCAGGCGCCAGGGGGGAAGCGAGTGCGGCTTGGCCATGAGTCTTTCAATCTGCGCTCCAGCCCGAGACATTGAAAGGAATGCCGTGGCAGAGAGTATCACCGTAACCTCGGCACTGGGAACCAAGCACCAGACCCGCGTGTCAAACATCAGCGTCCTGAGTTGCCTGAAAGCTTTTCCCTCTATCGCACCGCGGGCCCTGACCAGAGCGGCGTAATCCCTCAACAGCTCCCCAGGCCTGGCCACGCCGTCCTGGATTCGCTTTGCTGCGGCTGCCTGCTGCTGCCGCTCATACTTGTCGGATGCAATGTAGAGGTTCCCCTTCTCAACGCGGCCAGTCACAGCGTAGACCATGCGGAGTACCACGCACACGCCAGTTGGCTTGAAGCCATCACAGCCCTCCAAGAACCTCAAGCCAACTTTCCGACTGTACGCGTTTTGTTGAGCCCACGTCCCATCTGCAAAGCCGCCAGACTCCACTGGAACGTGGGCAGCGGGCCCGCCTGGCTCAGCGCCTGCAGCGACGATCGAGTACTCGTCGGGCCGACCGCTCGTCGAAGATTTACTTGATTTCTCGATCTTCTTCATCCGAGCACAACACTCGATGTAAGCTGCTTTCAGTGCGCCACAACACAATAGCGGAAGGGTGAAATCGCACAAAGCCTCCTCGCCACGAGCCATCTTCTCACGATTGAATATTGGCCAAACCTTGTTGGTGAACGCCTCGGTGAGCCCATGGGCAACGCGGGCCTTCACAAGTTCTTCGGCTTCGGCCGACCCAAGGGGCACCCATGCAACAATCCTGTCGTTGTCCCAACAGCACGGGGCCAGCCTCTCACACAGCATGCGCCTCACAGACGCTCGAGACCCGACGCGGATAAAGTATCGTAGAATAAGCCGACGGTGCGCAGCATCAACATCGTCACACACGCCATGCTTAACATCAACCATGCCCTCAATGACGTCACGCATCGACTCTGTGAACTGCGTGCGGAAGGTGGTGTGCTGGAGCGACAAACTGACGTGCGTGATCGCAGAGGCAGCGGCGCTCAACTCGGTCGGAAATATGGCAGCATTGGAAATGGTAACTGCCTTATGCTGGGAGCACGTCGACAGGAAAGTTGGCCAACGAGAGTGCTGGCGCAAACGACGACGCTGCAATCGCCTCTCGCTCTGAAGATTCGACGGGTGCCTGTCAACATGTACGCATCTAGATGCATCTTGTGCCAATGCCTCCAACGAAGACGAACATTGAGAAACCTCCAGGGCCGCCATCAAGTCGCTAGTGCTGTTCGACCTCAGCGCTTGTGCAATCGAAACGTGGGAGCCTAAGATCATGAAATACTTCGGGTTGTCACCATTCGCATCTACCCTCTTAGCGAGAATCTCGTATGCGTTCGCCGTGATGAGAACTTTAGTGCTCGTCGCTGCCTTGGCTTTTTTGAACTTCTGCTCAAGATGGCGCATGGCAACTTGTGTTTCCGTGCTCCGTGCTGGTCCTGCAACAATCGACAATTCGGACCCGCCGCCAGCCACCTCAGCTGGCGTCTCATCGTACCCAACATCATCAATTATCTGCAAAACCTCGGATCGTGGATCTCGAACGAGCTCCTGCATGATAACTCTCCTCCACCAACGGTCGAACAACCAAACTGCAGATGTGAACGTCTTGAGGGACGCCGTCAATGACTTCCTGCTCACGCCAAGGTTATCAGCCTGCGCCGTCCGAGTCATATTCGTCCGGCCTGCAGACACAGTCAAAAAAGATCGTGCCACGTCAGTTAGCTCACCCATCTCATCACTCGCTGGCTCAACCTCTCGCTTGGCCAACACCATGCCACCAACACAATCAATAAGAGGGCTTGGCATCAACATTCCATATCTCTTGCCAATCTGTTGCGCAACAACTTTTGAAACATTGAACTTCTGCTCGTGAACTCGGGCGGCATCCGCCTCCTCTCGACGCCGTCGTTTAGCATCGATTGCAGCTCGCTGGGCAACACGTATATCACCTCTGGGCCGTTTCTCCATATGTGTGTAAGCCGTAAGCTTACAATGTTTGAGCCAAAACGGTTGCGGATGAAGTGAAGAATAAATCGTGAACACCAGCTGAATGTATTTCAAATGCCTTCGGGTCATCGTGCGAATGCCGAATGTTGACTTTCTCATATGCAAATCTTCGTGGATGACCTACTGTTGCCCACGAGCACGGATGGGGGCACCAAGGGGCATCGAAGACTGAACGGACAACGCTTTTTTCCCAAACAATGCTTGCACTTGGAGGTTTTTTGGTTTGTATTCTAAGGACCTGGGCCTGGTTGTCGATCAGACTGCTATGTTGCCGCCGTTATCGTCGGTCGTCGGTCGTCGGTCGTCGGTCGTCGGTTGTCGGTCGTGAGTTTTCGGTCGTCGGTCGTCGGTCGTCGGTCGTCAGTCGTTCGTCGTCGGTCGTCGTCGTCGTCGTCGTCGGCGTCCTTGTCGTCGCCGCCGCCGTCGTCGTCGTCGTCGGCGTCGTCGTCGTCGGTCGTGAGGGTCGATTGTGGGTCGTCGTCGTCGTCGCCGTAGTCGTCGTCGTCGGTCGGTCGGTCGGCGTGTCGCCGACAAGATAGACGGATCCACATAAACTTGCCCACAGAGATCTCACCCCATAGATCGCACCGCGTAAATTGCACCGCATGGCAAGAAACAACTGTATTCCACGCCAAATACTGCGCCATATAGACTGCGCCACATAGATTGCACCACATAAGCTGCACCACGCAGATTGCACCACATAGATTGCACAGAGCAGGGTGCACCACATAGGTTGGTACCACATAGATTGCATCAAATTGTTTGAACCAGACAGCCCGCTAGAACTCCATCTCTTGCACCACATAGATTGCACCACAGCGGTTGTACCAGATTGGTTGCACCACGTAGGTTGCCCATGCTTGATACACACATGCGACGTACACACACACTCTACTTAAGCTGTCGTAACAAGTGCTGGTGGCGCCATGCCCACCACCTTGAATGGCCGAACTCATCCGCGCATTGCATAGACCCACACATATAACCATAAACGAAAAAACACACGACCTTTTTTTGACCTTTTTTTTTAAGTACCCAAAAACACACAAACCTTTGCTATGACCTTTAAACGCTATATCCATGATCTACAGAGTGTGGCGGTCTCGCCCGACTCGGATCTAACAATTGATCTCCCTGTCGATATCATCATCAATCTTACGATCGATCTCACTATCGATCTCACTATCTTGCGATCGGTTATCACTATGGGTCCCATTACCAATCATCCTATCAATCTCACGGTCGATCTCCTCGATCGATCTCACAATCAATCTCACAATCAATCTCACTGTCGGTCTCACTCTATCGAACAGACTACCGATCTCCCTATCAATCGCACTGTCAATTTCACTCAGTCGATCTCACTATCGATCTCAGTCTCAATCTCTCGGTCGATCTCACTATTGATCTCACAGTCGGTCTGATGATCCGTCTCACTACCAATATCACTATGTTCCTCAATATCGATCTTACGATCGATCTCCCTATCGCTCTCACTATCGATCTTACTATCGATCTCACTATCGACCTCGCTATAGACCGCACTATCGATCTCACTATCAAACTCAATATCGATCTTAAGATAGGTCCCACCATCAATCTCACTACGGGACACCGGCGGGACTTCAGGTGGACACCCACGAGACACCCCTGGCCACCGCTGGCCAACCGGGGAAGAAAGGCGGTCGTTTAGCCCGGCGGCAGAGGAGGGCTCATCCCTCTCGCCCGCCCAAGCAGCCTCGGCTCGCCGCTCGCGCGACCGATTCCCGGAGGGGGGCTCGCCGTTTCGCTGCGGTCTCACCCTCTCCCCTCCGATCAACTGTAAGCGAGATCAATGGTAAGGTCGACTGCGAGATCGATAGATCGTGACATCGAACGTGCGATCGAAGGTGCGAAAGACTGTGAACTAGATTGGGAGATCGATGGCGAGATCGAAAATAAGACCGATTGGTTGTGGGATCGATGGGTTGTCCGCCGAGGTCTCCGGGGGAAGGGGCGACGCCGCGGAGCGTGAGCGAGTGCTGTCGTTGCCACAACGATCGGGGTCGGCGGACGGATCGACGAAGAGGGCCACACAAATAGTAGATCACCCACCGGGGCAGGATAGCAATGAACGTGATAGAGGGGCGCCACACCATACTGTCCTTCCTCGTTCCTTTCTGCACACTCCGTGCGTCTCTTAAGAAGCGGTCCTCCGCGATCTTCGCATACTTGATCACTTGGCTGCGCGTGATCATGCCCTGAAAATCACCCCTGTCGTCGACCACGCAGACAACCTGCACCCAGGCCCTGATTGATATCGTCACTTGCGGCCCCATCGCCCCTCAATTTATCTGAACCCCCATCTGCGCTTGACTTGACGACCGCTTCTCACAGATATACTGCTGGAGCTGTGCACCCACACATGCTGGAGGCCTCGCCTGCTCCTGACTCTCAATGGACGTATTGCCTGTTCTCGCCCTGTGTGTACCACCACCTCAAGCCTTGGAGGCTCACCGATGCTAGCCCCTGCGTCAGTACAACTGTGGACCCGCGCTGCCGACACTTCGATCCCTAATTGCTAACTGGGGTGCGCGACTCCGAGGACACGATGCACGATTTGTTGAACAAAAGATAAAGGCTCCGCGCTCCTACAACAATCACCCATCGGAAAACAAAAGCACGCGTTCCCGAGTCCGCGGCCGATCATAAAAGAAAACCGCGTCTGTGCTCACAAAGCCACTGCCCTCGCACAGAAAAACTATGGACCCGCACCTCTGAGGCCACGATCCATCGTAGCGCAAATATACGCGGGTCGGAAACCGAGATCCCTGGAACACATATGGACACGTGATCCCGAAGCCGCGGTCCCTCACTTCGTGTGTCAAATGGCCCCGTACTTCCGAAACCGCAACACCTAGTGAAAGCAGATGCGTCCACGCTCCAGAGGCCGCGATCCCTCGTGAACAAGCCTGGCTCCGCGCACAACTCCACGGCCCCTCGCAACGAACAACTATGGAACCGCGCCCCCGAGGCCCAGCTGCCGGGGAAGAAGCCATGGGACAACGCCCCCGAAGCCACGTCCGTCTGAAACATCACACGAAGGACCCCCGCTCTCGAGGCCTCAGTCCTTCTCGCACCAAGACGTATACATATGAGTCCAGATCCCCGGTAGCACGAACTCGGATCAAAAAATATGGACCCGCGCTCCCGAAGCCGCGATCCTCACAACAACAATATTTGATGGCGCTCCCACGGTCACGACCCATGACAAAAACGGGACCCGCGCTCCGAACCCGGCAACCGACAAGCGAAACACCCCAAGCAACCACACCGCCTGCTAATCAGCACCAGCCAGCACCAGCCAACCAGCCAACATGTCAGCCAGCCAGGCAACCAGTCAACCGACCTGCCAAGCCGACCAGCCGATTTCCTTGCCTGCTGACCAGGTAGCCAAACATACACCAATCCAACACGATCAACCAACCCAGCCATGCAAGCCATCTGGGCGCAGGCCAATGGCAAGTGGCGAACCCTTCAGATAACGCGTACATCTTATGAGTCCTCACCATTGCGGCTGACTGCCTGGAACAAACCTGCACAAATGCGGAAACAACACATAGTGGTACCGACAACAGCTACGAATCTGACGAAGGCAACGCGTCTGGCACCGCTCGCTCTGATTGTCTCTGATGCCGGCTTGGGGAACTGGCAGAGTGAGACACCTCTCAGTGCAGCCAACCCTGGCAAACAATTGCTCGACGCGGGGCCCCCAATATGTGCATCTCCTTCTCTTGGTACGTCTTTCTCTTGATATCTGTCAATGAGCGCCTGTATGCGAGGGCGAACCGCTCGCTCGAGACATTCCCACAGTCTGCAAGCATGAGTGCGACCGATAGCAAATCTGAGAGCGACTGATTCTAGTGTGAGTTAATCTGGGTGCGATTGAGCCTGGGTTTGAGTGGGTATGCGTGTGAGTAGATATGAGCGCGAGTGCATCTGTGTGCGAGTGGGTCTGAGTATGGACGAATCTGAGTGTGAGCCAGTCTGTGATTGAGCGGATCGTAGCATGATGAGTCTGAGCATGAGTGAGTCTGGGCTTGAGTGGGTCTGAGTGTGAGAAAAAGTGTGTTAATGAATATGAGTACGAGTGAGCCGAGTGTGATTGGGTATGGATGTGAGGCAGTCTGAGTGTGAGTCGGTCTGCGTTTGAGCGGACCGAAGGATGACGAGTCTGAGCAGGAGCGAGTCTGAGTATGAGTGGTTCTGAGCGTGAGTGTGAGTGTGAGTAAGTTTAAGTATGGGTATGAGCGAGTCTAAGTACGAGTGAGCCTGCGTGTGACTGAGTCTGAGTATGAGTGAGTATGAATGCAGAAGAGTGATGGAGAGCGGAGAACGAAGGAGAGTGAGGCGGAAGCGTTTGAGTAAAACCTAAAGCTTTGGAACATCGAACCTCGATCGTCTGGCCCTGGCTACTCGAGTTGCCCACGTCCTCCTCCTCCTCCTCCTCCTCCTCCTCCTCCTCCTCATCATCACCATCATCACCATCATCACCATCATCATCATCATCATCATCATCATCATCACCATCATCATCATCATCATCATCATCATCATCATCATCATCATCATCATCATCATCATCATCCCCTTCCTGCTTCTGC